TCGGGGGAAGGCCTCTCTCCTCTAACTGGGGATGGCCCTGCTGATGGCCGGGGGAGGGGCGCCCTGGGACAGGAGCCGGGCCCACGCGGAGAGGGCCCCCCCCTATGCTGCAGAGGAAGGAGGAAGGAGCTCAGGCCGGCAGGGGTGGAGGGTGGGGCCCCCGCTCCCGCCGTGACCAGGAGGCGGACGGGAAAGGTGTCCCCGCTGGCGCTGACACAGACACAGGACAGAGCTCCGCTGACACCGCACGTTTATTGGGAAAAGCCATGGATGGGGGCGGGCAGGGCAGGGCCCATCGGGGGGTTAGCTGGGCATCGGGCGTTCCTCCGTGAGGTTTAGAGCAACACCTTCATGGACAAACCCCCCGGGGCCGCGGGCGGGGGCCTAGGCGGAGGCGGGGGCGGGCGCCTGGGCCAGCAGCGCCTCGATGTCGGGCTCGATGTCGATGGTGGGGAAGCGGCGGCTGTAGCGGCGCACGGGCACGCCGTCCGCGTCCACCAGGAACTTCTCGAAGTTCCAGGACACGTCGTTGCGGGACACGGGCGACCAGACGACGAACTTGGGGTCGGTCATGAGCGGGGCGGGGTCGTCGCTGGGCGCGGGCAGCGCCTCGCGCAGGAAGGCGAAGAGCGGGTGCGCCTGCGCGCCGTTCACCTCGCACTTCTCGAACAGCGGGAAGCTGGGCTCGAACCCGCCGCCGGGCCGCACGTACTTGAGGCAGTTGAGGATCTCCTCGTTCTTGGCGTTCTCCTGCGGGGCACAGAGCGGCAGGCGGGGATCGGGGTGACTCAGCGGGCTCGGCCCCGCTCCGCCCGCCCCGCCCGGCTCGCCCGCCCGCCCGCGCACCTGGTGCCCGAACTGGTTGCACGGGAAGCCCAGCACCACCAGCCCCCGCGGGCCCAGGCGCCGCTGCAGCTCGTTCATCTGCGTGTAGTCGCGGACGGTGGTGCCTCAGAGCGACGCCACGTTCTCGATGAGCAGCACCTTGCCGCGCAGGGAGCCCAGGCTCAGGGGCTCGCCGCCGGCCAGCGGGCGCGCCGAGAAGGCGTGCACGGAGCGCGGGGCCGCCTGCGCGGCCGCCCTCAGCTGCGCGGCGCTCATGGCGGGACGGGGTGCGGCGGGGACGGGGACGCGGGGCCCCGGGGTGCACCGCCTTTTAGCTGGCAGCCGCGGCGTCACGTGGGAGGGCGGCCCCGCCCCGCCCCGCCCCATCCGGCCTCCCGGGCGGGCGGGCCGGCCGGATGCAGACGCCGCCCAGGCTGCGGAGCTGCGGGCAGCCGGCAGGGCGCACAGCCGGGCGCGCTGCAGCCCGTTATCCGGACGGCGCCGGGCACCGGGCAGAGGCGCTCGTTGGGGCTGCGGGTGACAGCGCCTGCCCCCGCCGTTCCAGCCCCTCCTGTTGCTGTTCCCGCCGTGTGTGTCCTAGGGCTGCCGGGCCGAGCAAGCTGTGGCTTGTGGTGCCGGTGCGGTTGGCAGCACCTGCCGAGGCAGGTTCTTCTAGAAGGAGCTGTGGTTTGGGAAGGCGGAGGGGGCGGGCAGGGCAGCAGGCAGCGCCCAGGCCCTGCAGCCGGCGCTGGCTCGGTTCCCTGCGGTCCGCGGTGTGAGGCCCAGCCCCCTGACCCCCCTGCTCGTACAGCCTACAGGGAGGGCCTCCGGGTCTGACCCAGCTGGGAGCATGTAGGGCCAGGAGGGCCCTGCCAGTTCAGGCCAGCCTCCGTCCCAGTCACCTCCACCTGGGGCTCCTCCTGGGAACTGAGGCACTGACAAGGGGGGTAAGAGGAAAAGGCGACGCCCCTGGACTGCAGTGACCGCTTGGCGTGCCCTCCGGTCTCCAGCAGACTGCATCCCCCACCCCCCCGAACTTGAATGTGACCAGACGATCGTCTCCATGTCCTAGGAGCCAGGTTGGTGGATCAGAGGATGGTGGGCCCGTGGCACTGTGCGGCCCAGCCCCCACCCCCAGCCCTGGAGAGAGGAACACACACCGGATACAGAAGTTTAGAAAACTGCCTTTATTCTATTAGTAGTTGGAAAATTAACTGGTACAGAAAACAGTTCGTCAGCGGGAGGAGAGCCCGATGCCAGAGAACTGGCCCCGGGAGGAGCCTGGCACAGTGAGGAGCAGGGGCGCCGAGCCAGACCCCCAGGTGTGGCAGCTCACCCCTCGAAGCGACTACATGCCTCAGGCACGAACCAGGCCCTATTCTTAGCCCAGCTCTGGGGAGGTGCGGGTGCGGGGCTGGAACAGGAGATATGGCCATCTTTTATTAGAGAGACCGACAAGGCGGGAATTTTAAAAATGAATTTTCCATCTGACTTTATTTTCAAATACACTTTCTTTTTTAAAAAAACCAATACACTTTCTGTGGGGATGACAAATATCGGTATTAGGAAATCCAATTATACAAAAAATACTACATCTAGTTTGGGGTAGATATATTTATTTTTTGGTAACATACATTAAGTGGCACTAATTACACAGTAACTATAAGGTAACTAACATGAAACCACAGAACTGTAACTTTGCCGCGGCGGCGTGAACTTGGCCTCTCTGGCTGAGCATTTTGAAAAACTGGATGCCCGCTCCAGAGGCCGCTCTGAGGGGCAGCTCACCAGAGACCTCGCAGCGGACAGGTGACAGGAAGGCATGTTAGTTAGGAAGTAGTTACAGCCTAACTCAGAAAAGTTACCGTTTCTCTTTCTAGAAAGAAGCAAGAAGTTAAGGAATCCCTTGCATCAGCGCCGTGTGTCGGGTGGAGGCAGAGGCGGCGGGTGGCTGGATCATTAGTAATCACGGTAGCAGGATGGCGCCTGATTGGAATCTGGGGGGGGGCGGAAAGGCCGGGATCACACACTGGGATGAGCGAACGGCACTTGGAGACGAGCCGGCTCACAAGACAAGGCACCCAGACTTCTTCTTGCCGCGCCGGGCCTGCAGGGCGGCTCTCGTGGCCATCTCGAACACCTCCCGCACGCCGTCTTTGGTCTTCGCTGAGCACTCCATGTAGCCAAAGGCGCCGATCCTGTTTGCCATGTCTCTGCCTTCCTCCGGCTTTACCGGCTCCTGGCGGGGAGAGAGGAGGGTTACAGACAGACAGTGTCGTTACCACTGAGACACACACGGTTAGTAGGTGTCTTTATGTTCAGCTAAGACTCCTTTTAAAAGCTACCACATCCACGAACTGGAGTTCAGTCTATGGAATTCATATGCAGTGAGCCCCAACCCAATGGAACGTCCCTCTCCAATGAGCACTTCTCTGGGGAGAGGCCAGAGAAGCCTTGTCGGTTAAGGTTAAGGTTAAGGTCATGTTACGGAGGGAATGACTCCAGCTGCCAATCCAGGTAAGGCCCTGGTCCGCCTGCAGCTTCCCAGAGAGAATGCCCGGGGGAAATGGATCCTGACCCTGGCATTCAGAGAAACCGCAGTGGAGACCTGGGTGAGGACCTCCAGACCCTCCTCCTGCAAAGGGAAGCCCTGCCTGGGGCCACCTCCATCAGCACTTTCTAAGGCACCAGGGCTCTGCCTAGACTCCCGCCCTCAGCACCCCCAGTCCTTCAGCTGCCACCAGCCTGCTTTTGGCCTCACATGCACCAGGTAATAACCGGAGGGAAGCAAGAGCCCGATGGAGTTCCTGCATCTGGAGCACTGGCGACCGCGGTGCTGGTCCCTCCCGAGGCAGCGATCCATGGAGGCACAGCCCCACTCACAGGCAGATGCCGGCTCATATGACTAGACCTCCCCACGGGTCCTCGGGTTCAAGAATGCTATAAGGCCTGCCAGTGTGGCCCAGGGGGTGAGAGTGCCGTCCGTGCACTGAAAGGTGGCGGGTTCGATTCCCGGTCAGGTGTGTACGATCAATGTCTTCTCTCCACCCCACTCCCACCCCTGCCCCCATCAATGGAAACATCCTCAGGTAAGAACTGAGAAGAATGTACAGGAGGAGAGAACCCGCCCCAGGCATGCCTGCTTCATCTTGGCCAGCTCCCGCCTTGTGTGCTCGTCATTTCGAAGATCCTTCTTGTTCCCAACTAGGATGATGGGCACATTGGGACAGAAATGCTTGACTTCTGGAGTCCATTTTTCTGGGATGTTTTCTGAAAATAATAAAATGCACATAATTCAGGGATACATAAAGTTCTATAAGAATCTCCAAGATCCCTAATTAATCTACACAGAAACGACTTCAGAATGATGCAGGACATTGAATGGAATTTCATGACTTTTAAAAACTAGTTTTAATTGTGCCAGGAAAAGGCAAACTTTACCCACTGCCCTTAAGCACAACCACCAGCTTTGGTCAGTCCCGCCACAAAGCCCAGCTCCTGGGGAGGCGAGCCAGAGGAAGACTCCGGCGGCGCAGGATCCAGCCAGTGCCCAGAGTGATCCGCATGGTGCCACCTGCCCATGCAGGGAGGCTCCCGCCATCACAGCCCAGCTGGCAGGAATCCGACCACACCCCACTCCGGGTGCAGCTGGCTGAGTCCACATGTTCTCTCCACCTTGCTCCTGGCCTCAGCATGTCCCTCCCCTGTGGAGTATGGACTTGCAGTGAGCCTGAACATGAGTGACAGCCGCTCGCGCCTTGCGGCCCTGGAGTATGGCTGTGTGACACCACGGTGGCTGAGCGGGTGGGTCCAGCCTCCACACGCTCCCTCGGACACCTCAGTGTCAGGATGGCTTCACACGATGGGGAAGACAGTAACACACACTTACTCTGGTTAGTCCGAGTCAGTGCATGTAAAGCCCTTAGTGCGATGGCAATGAAAATGGAGCTGATTGTGATCTGAGACTGTATTTTATAAGTAGCTGCTCACTCTCTGACTTTAAGGCTAGTGCCTTGTTTTATTGAGTGTGAGGTCAGCATTAGCCAGTCATTTTCTAAAGGAAAGTGACTTCTGAAACATGTGACCAACTGAGCTAATATGGCAGGCCCAAGTCTCTCATTATTAGCTAAGATGCTTGGAAAAGGGCTGAGAGGACTTGAAAACACCACCGGAAATAGCAAGTCCCCAGTCTAGTCACAGGGAGGCAACAAGAAGCACTAAAAAGGGTACAGGCACCTGAGACCTTCCCCAGATCTTCGTCCCAAGCTGGTTCTGCCTCTGGAACTCGCCTGCTTTATAAAGTGGGCACAGGGCAGCCCCGAGCCAGGCTGAGAGGGCCTGACGATCCCTTCTCTGGTCCAGGTCTGCTCGATGCCCAGAACGGCCCTGGGGGCTAGGTGTCAGCAGGCACACAGGCCTGGCCAACCGCAGGCTGCAGAGCTCCTCACCTAAACTATCAGGGCTGTCGATGGAGAAGCACATCAGGATGACATCCGTGTCCGGGTAGGAGAGGGGCCTCAAGCGATCATAATCCTCCTGCCCCGCGGTGTCCCATAAGGCCAGCTCAACCTGTGGGAGGAGAACGAAGGCAAAGCGCCAGGTTAACCCCACACCCACTTCTGTGGCTTGTGTGTGTTTTAGAGGGAGGGAGAGAGAGAGAGGGAGAGGGGAGGAGGATGGGATGGGAGGGAGGGAGAGAGAGAGAGGGAGAGGGGAGGAGGATGGGATGGGAGGGAGGGAGAGAGAAAGAGGGAGAGGGGAGGAGGATGGGATGGGAGGGAGAGAGAGAGAAAGAGGGAGAGGGGAGGAGGATGGGATGGGAGGGAGAGAGAGAGAAAGAGGGAGAGGGGAGGAGGATGGGATGGGAGGGAGAGAGAGAGAAAGAGGGAGAGGGGAGGAGGATGGGATGGGAGGGAGAGAGAGAGGGAGAGGGATGGGGGTGGGAGGGAGGGAGAAAGGGAGAGGAGAGAAAGAGGGATGGAGATGGGAGGGAAGGAGAAAGAGGGAGAGGGGGAAAGGGATGGGGTTGGGAGGGAGAGAGACATTGATATTTTTTTGTTCCACTTATTTATGTATTCACTGGTTGATATTCTTATATGTGCCCTGACGGGATTGAACTCGCAACCTTGGTGTGTATTGGGACAATGCTCAAAACAACAGAACTAATCTGGCCAGGGGCCACTACCCACTTTCAAAAGGGGATGTTGGCCTGGCCACTGTGGTTCAATGGTTGAGCATTGACCTATGAACCAGGAGGTCATGGTTAAATTTCTGGTCAGGGCACATGCCTGGGTTATGGGCTTATGTCCAGTAGGGGGCGTGTAGGAGGTAGCTAATCAATAATTCTCAGTCAACAATGACCATCTGGATGACCTTGCAGAAGGAGCCGCTGTGAGGGCCGAGCCCCTTGCATGAATTCCATGCCCCAGGCCTCTACTTTATTATCAGTAACAGTCAGTGGGCCAACGGTAAATAACATTCTACCAGGTGCCCAAGGCAGGACAAACAGAAACGGAACTGCTATCTGTCGTCTCACACAACCACCTCCATCTGTCTGGTCACGCTGCCCCAACGAGAAATGTGGAGACCAGCGTGCATGTGAGTGGCTGGTGAGGACGGACACCAGCTGGGACCAGCGTGCGTGTGAGTGGCTGGTGAGGACGGACACCAGCTGGGGTAGGAGTCTAAGCTGAGGGGAAGGCTCTGGCTCTGCCCGACTACTCACAAACATGCCGAGGGAAAGCATCACGTAGGGTGGAGGACATGCCTCTCACATCTGTGTCCTCTTTCAAGGCGCTATGATAACAGGATGAGAATGGGTTTCTCATTCTAACATTTAAAAAAATATATACATTTTATTGAGTTTTTACAGAGAGGAATAGAGAGGGATAAAAAGCTAGAAACATTGATCAGCTGCCTCTTGCACACCCCCCACTGGGAATGTGCCTGCAACCAAGGTACATGCCCTTGACCAGAACTGAACCTGGGACCTTTCAGTCCACAGGCCAATGCTCTATACACTGAGCGAAACCAGTCTCGGCATCAGTCTAACATATTTGTTATTGTTATACTAGAGGCCCAATGCACAAAGATTTCCTTCCCCTGGCTGCCAGCACCGGCTTTGCTCGGGCCTGGAGCCACCTTTCTGCCTTCCCACACTACCCAGAGGTCAGAGCTGCTAGGGCGGTGCGGAATGCCTGCATCCTGCCCAGCCTCCGGCCACTTGGTGCCTGTATATGCAAATTAATCGACAGCTTTGTTGGGTTGATTTGCATACTCGCTCCTGATTGGCTGGTGGCATCGCAAAGGTATGGTCAATTTGCATCTTTCTCTTTTATTAGTGTAGATTGTGTACTGAAGAGACAAAAAGGCCTAATTCTCTTTGACTACACCAGTGGTCGGCAAACTCAGTCAACAGAGCAGCAAACTACGGCTTGCGAGCTACATGTGGCTCTTGAGCCGTAGTTTGCCCACCAAACATGTAAAATTAGTACCAGTTGTTATGGAAAGTGTACTCACCTGCTTTCCGTCCACTTCAATGTCTGCCACATAGTTCTCAAACACCGTAGGTACATACACCTCTGGGAACTGGTCCTTGCTAAAAACGATGAGCAAGCAAGTCTTGCCACAGGCTCCATCACCAACAATCACCAATTTCTTCCGGATGGCAGCCATTGCTGAAACATAGGCAAAGTATTATCTATCGATAGGTTGCACAAGAAGCCATTAGCTTTAGGCTATGAAACACTTTTCCAACCATGAGGCACAAGCCTCTATTAGCACACCCAAATATAAAATGCTAGTACATCTTTCCAGTTGGCACCAAAATATCATACCGAAAAACTTATAATAACAAATACTACCGGCCCAGTGCATGATTTGTGCACAGGTAGGGTCCCTAGCAGCTGCCGGCTGCCACCACTGGTTGGGGTTTCCCCTCCCGCTGTTGGCCGACTGGCCCTACCCCCTGGCCTACCTCCTGGTCAAGGGGACAATTTGCATATTAGGCTTTTATTATACAGGATTATACTTAATGGTAAAAAAAACATGAAATCTTTTCCCCAAGATCAGGAACAAGCAAAGGTGTCCATGCTTGCCACTTCAATCCATCTAGCATGACAACTGGAGGCAATTAGGCAAGAAAATAAAATAGAAGACATACATATGGGAAAGGAAGAAATCAAGCGATCTCAACTCAGATGACAGATGTGTACAATCCACTAAAAACTGTTAGTGCCGAAACCAGTTTGGCTCAGTGGTGGAGCGTCAGTCTGTGGACTGAAGGGTCCCAGGTTCGATTCTGGTCAAGGGCATGTACATTGGTTGCAGGCACATCCCCGGTGGGGGGTGTGCAGGAGGCAGCTGGTCGATGTTTCTCTCTCATCGACATATCTAGCTCTCTATCTCTCTCCCTTCCTCTCTGTAAAATATCAATAAAATATATTTTTTTAAAAAATATCAAACACATGTACAAGATTGGTTATAGGAGTATTTCTAACAGGTAGAAATAATCGCCAGTCAACAGCTGAACAGCTATGTTTAAGACTTTAAACAAACAAAATTACAGACAAAAAAGACATATATTGTATATATTGATAAAGATACATTATATACAGATGGAACACAAAATAATGAGCACTGGTGTAGGGGAGGGGAAGGGCACCAAGAGAAACAGAAACACCTGAAAGAGATACATCCACTGATTGCCTCCAGCACCCCCTGACGGGGGCTGGGAGGGAACCTGTAACCCAGATGCATGCCCTCGACAAGGAATAGAAATCTCCACCCTTCAGTGCTCATGCCAATGCTCCAACAACTAAGCCACACAGGCCACGCATCATTGGTTGGTTCTTTTATGTGCCGACTGAGAAATGAACCCACAACCTTGGCACATTGGGGGTGGAAGGCACAATGCTCTAACCAACTGAGCTACCTGGCCAGGGCTCTGGCACAATTAACACTGGCAAGGGGGATTCCCCCCCCTCCCCAGTCACACACTCCGCTTTAACACCTAAGGCCAAGTTCCCCCTCCCCGGTAGCCTCCTGGGCTGCTCTGGGACACACTTTCTTCGTTCCTGAATTTAGTCTACGAAGTGCTGCTTCCCAGAGACCTATGAACCTGCCTCCCCCTCTATGGCTCCAGGGGTATCACCCCAGAACCGCAGCTACCAAGTCACCCAGTTCAGCAGCTCCTGTGTTGAGCATCTGCCCCCTGGTGGTCAGTGCGTGTCATAGCCACCGGTTGGACTGCCGCTTAGGCCACCACCGGTGCCTGAAATTCGTGCACGAGGTGGGAGGATGTCCTTCAGCCCAACCTGCACCCTCTCCAATCTGGGACCAATGGCTCCTAACTGCTCACCTGCCTGCCCACCCCTAACCGTATCTGCCTGCTGGCCTGACTGCTGCCTAACCACTCTCCTGCCAGCCTGATTACCCCCAACTGTCCTCCCCTGCTGGCCAGATCGTGACCCTAACTGCTTGCTCCCCTGCATCAGCCTGATCTTGCCCCTAAAACCTCTGTCTCAGCCCCTGCCACCGTGGCTTTGTCCGAAAGTAAGTCAGACGTCCGGAAGATGTCAGATCAACCTGGTCTAATTAGCATATTAACCTTTTATTAGTATATACAGATGGTACTTCATTTGATATTGTTTGCACTTTTATTGGCTGCCTCCTGCATGCCCCCTACTGGGGATCAAGCCTGCAACCCCTGACTGGAACCGAACCCAAAATCCTTCAGTCCGCAAGCTGATGCTCTAACCACTGAGCCAAACTGGCTTCGGCTGTTTGCACTTTAGAGAGAGGGATCTGGAGCCAGGTGTTAGGGTTCAAAGCAGCTGTGACTCGTTGGGATAGAGGTCATTATTAAAGGAGTGAACACGGGAAAGCATTTTGAATAAATAACTCCTAGCACCTAACAGCTAATGTGTAACTGTTGGGTACTATTATCCATAAGCTCCAAAAAACATCTCTTCATTTCTACATTCCCTACAATGCCTGGCAGGGTCAAAAATAGTCCTGAACAAAGTATGCATTCGTTGATGGAATTAAAATAAGAAACCTAGCCTTCTTAAGTTAATGGATAAAAATGTGTTGGTATAAGAGAGTTAATTTTCTAACCTTTTAAAAGGAAACTTTCAAAAGCTCAAGTTACTAAGATTAGACAGCAGCCCTCAAATTTACTTCCTCTAAATCACTTCCTTTCTTTTCTGGACTGGCCTTAGTCTGTCTTCAAGTGGCAAATTACTTCTTTTCAAAAGAGATTTACAAGTGACAGACCACTGTGGATAACTTCCTCCGTCCCACATTCACGTTCGTACAGAAAGGGGGAGGGGATGGAAGGCCTGCCTTACCACATCAGACAGGGCAAAGCCTGAAGACCACACCCCTCCACCTGGGATACCTGAGAGCAGCAATCGTCCACCAGGAGAGACACATCATGGGATCAAAAGCAATGTTACCAACAGCTCAAGTACTGCAGACTGCAAGTGACATGATTTATCCTCTCCATGAATTAGACCAGGTTTCAGTGGGCACAGTGCCCCCCCCCGTCTGGCCGGGAGCTCTCTGAGGCTCCTGCACTGCAGCCAGCGCTCCCAGGCAGAAGCGGGAGGGGCTGGAAGCTGTGTCCCCTCCGCCCCATAACCTGACCTTGTGAGCAACCCCGATGCCTCCCGGTGGGGGGGAAGGTGTAATCACATGCCCTCCAAGCCCTACCCCAGCCACATGGACTACAATGTTCCACTTTATTTATTTTAATATACTTTATTGATTTTTTTTTTTTTTTATAGAGAGGAAGGGAGAGAGAGAGCTAGAAACATCGATCAGCTGCCTCCTGCACACCCCTTATTGGGGATGTGCCCACAACCAGGTACATGCCCTTGACCTGAATCGAACCTGGGACCCTTCAGTTAGGGCTACAATGTTCCATTTTAAAGCATTGCAGTTACTGCCGAAACCGGTGTGGCTCAGTGGATAGAGCGTCGTCCCGGGTTCAATTCTGGTCAAGGGCATGTACCTTGGTTGCAGGCACATCCCCACTATGGGGTGTGCAGGAGGCAGGTGATCGATGTTTCTCTCTCACTGATGTTTCTAACGCTCTATCCCTCTCTCTTCCCTCTCTCTGTAAAAAAAATCAATAAAATATTAAAAAAATAAAATAAAGCATTACAATTACAGGTGATGACAGCGCAGAAAGAAGGCCGTTTACAATAGTGGTTAAGGAGCAGCACTGCCTGAGTGTGAACCTGCGCTCGGTCATTTACTAGTTCTGTGCCCTTTACCACCAGTTTACTTACCTGCCCAGGGGCAGGTGGAACCTTTGGGATAGGATGGTCTGAGATTAAATAAGCTATTACACAGAAAGAGCTTAGACTGACATAGCACACAAAGAGCTTACCGATACTGAAAATAGTCAGTATTCGATAAATGTCTGTCATTACTGTTTAGGTCTTTTTTGGACAAAAAGCAACTCCCTCCTTCAAATTGCAACTGTCCAGAATTTGAAGACCAGTTTATAATATGGCCTGACCATAAGAATGTTTTCCCTAAAATGAAACTTTGACCAGTCCAGTAACTAATTATTTTTTCAAAGTGCATGTCCCATGCATGCCTCCCCCACCCTCTTCTTTATTAAAATGTGTGTACATATTCACACGGAACTTCTCTTCCGCGGCCCAGAATCACAGGCCCACAAATGTTTCTAAATTCAGAATTTCTCAGATTTTAGAAGGGTAATGTGGTGCAAATGCCCACTATTCTGTGACATAGCCAATAGGTTAACAGTCTTCATTAAATAAATGAATACACTGCGTAGGATAAACAACCTTATCAGTTCAGTTGAGGTTTTGACATCAAAGGAGATTGTGATTTCCAGAACTTTCTGAAGGGCAGTTTTGTGAAAAGCCTTAAGCTGTCCCCAATTTGTTTTAATCACACACCCTCCTCTCAATGCTTTTCAAACCTTTTCCGATGCCTCAAGCCTGATGTTTCCGTGACTCAGAACCTCCTGTCACCGCAGAGAAGTGCCCGAGACCCTCCCGCCGTTTCTCTTGGAAAGCTCAAACAAGCTGGGCTTTCAAGAAGGCGATTTAAGGGATGTGTGTTGTGCTTACAATGCAGGACTGCCAGTAATCTGAATTCTGTAACCTAAATTAGCCGAATAATTTTGATAACCTGCTTAGGGACTATACATTTGCAATACTAATTTTCTCAGACTCACCGTAAATCTCCTTCTGTACACAATCTGTAGCTTATTTTGGGAAGATAAGGAGCCACCAAAGATTTTGAAATGTTCTGCTACCAGGTTATAATGAATGCATTTACAGACATTTATTAGCCAAACATTCATTATAAACAATCCCAAAGTAGTTCTTCAGCCAAGAACAGAAATAGAAATAATCAGAATGGATAACTATGCTGCTTCTGCTGGATCAAGATCTTTGTGATATTTTGTAATGAGTAAAGTTCCATGCAGATTAAATAATCAGAGCTTTAAAAATGACTAATTCAGCATATTTAAGATAATTATAATTTTACCTCATAATTCTTCATAGCGGCTAATTGTGCAAAAGAAACAGTGATGAGTACAGCAAGCTTTCTACCATTTCTCAACCACCCATGAAAGAAAAGCACTTCCTACATAGAGCATAGCTTTGGGCATGACTTAATTTTTACTT